AAAATTTTGTGTTCCAAATTTTTCTCCCTCCCTTCCTCCCCTCTCATCTCCCCAAGAAAGTAAGTGAAATGATCTAGGTTATACATGTACAATCATGTTAAATATATTTCCACATTAGTGAGGTTTTGAAAGAAGAATCAGAACAAAAAGGGAAAACCACAGGAAAGAAAAAAAGGAGAAAATAATATGCTTTGATCTGAATTCCTATGCCATAGTTCTTCCTCTGGATGTAGATAGCATTTTCCATCATGAGTCTTTTGGAATTGTCTTAGATCATTGCATTGCTGAGAAGAGCTAAGTCTATCAAAGTTGGTCATTGCACAATGTTGCTGCTACTATGTACAGTGTACTCCTGGTTCTGCTCACTTCACTCAGCATTAGTTCATGTAAGTCTTTCCAGGTTTTTCTGAAGTCTGCCTGTTCATCATTTCTTATAGCACAATAATATTCCATCACATTCATATACCACAGCTTGTTCAACATTCCCTAAATGATGGGCATCCCTTCAATTTCCAATTATTTGCCACCACAAAAAGAGCTGCTATAAATATTTTTGTACATGTGGATCCTTTTCCCTTTTTCGTATTTCTGGGACGTAGACCTAGTAGTGGTATTGTTGGATCAAAGGCTACGCACGGTTTGACTGTCCTTTGGGCATAATGGAACTCTATTTTAAAAATGTTAAAAATTGTTTTTATATGTAATTGGAAAAAATAAAAAATAAAACATTAAAAAAGATAATGCAATTCAGAGCTACCTTAAACAATGAAACAATATCAATTCCAAATGTAAATTAATTGAATGAAATATGATCTAAAATAATAAAGGGACATTTAACTAAAAGAGAAAAAAGAAGCATCAATGCCCATTATCACCTTTTGTACTAAAAATGTTAGCTATAGCAATAAGAGAAAAAAGAAATTGAAGGAATTAGAATAGGCAATGAGGAAACAAAACTATCACTATTTACAGATGATATGGTATACTTAGAGAATGCGAGAGAATCAACTTAAAAACTACTTGAAATAATTAACAACTTTAACAAAGTTGGATACAAAATAAACCCACATAAATCATCAACATTTCTATAAAATACCAACAAAATCCAGAGGCAAAAGAAAGAAATTCCATTTAAAATAATTGTAGACAATATAAAATACTTTGGTGTCTACCTGTCAAGACAAACCTAGGAACTATATGAACCCAATTACAAAACACTTCTCACACAAATAAAGTAAGATCTAAACAATTGAAAAAAATATCAATTGCTCATCGGTAGGCAGAGCCAATGTAATAAAAATGATAATTCTACTTAAATTAATCTCCTTATTCAGTGCCATTCAAGTCAAACTAACAAAAATTATTTTTATAGAGCTAGAAAAAATAATAACAAAATTCATCTGGAAGAACAAAAGCTCAAGGATATCAAGGGAACAAATGAAAATAAATGTGAAGGAAGGTGGTCTAGTCATACCAGATCTCAATATTATAAAGTGGTAGTTATCAAAAAACAATTTGATAGTGGCTAAGAAATAGAGTGGTAGGTCAGTGGAATAGATTAGGTACACATTACACTATAGTAAATAACTATAGCAATCTAGTATATGATAAACCCAAAGATCCAAGCTTTGGAAATAATGACTCATTATTTCAGGAAAAGTCCTGGGAAAACTGTAAAACAGTATGGCAGAAACTAGGTATAGACCAACATCTCATTCCATATACCAAGGTAAGGTCAAAATGGGTACATGATTTACATACAAAGGGTGATACTATAAGCAAGTTAGGAGAGCATGAGATTTGTGGATAAGGGAAGAATTTAGGACCAAAGAAAACATAGAGAACACTAAAAAATTTAAAATAGATAATTTTTAATATATAAAATTTAAAAGTTTTTGCATAGACAAAACCAATGCAACCAAAATTAAAAGGAAAGCAGAAAAATGAGGGGAAATTTTGCAACAAGTATCTCTGATAAAGTCCTCATTTCTCAAATATATAGAAAACTGAGTCAAATTTGTAAAAAAAAAAAAAATGTCATTCCCCAATTGAAAAATGGTCCAAGAATATGAACAGGCAGTTTTCAGACATAGAAATCAAAACTATCTATGGTCATATGAAAAAATGCTCTAAATCACTATTTATTAGAGAAATGCAAATTAAAACAACTCTGAGGTACCACCTCACACCTATCAGATTGACTAATATGACAAAAAAGGAAAATGATAAATGTTGGAGAAGATGTGAAAAAACTGGAGCACTCATGCAATATTGTTGTGAACTGATCCATTCATTTTGGAGAACAATTTGGAACTAAGCCCAAAGGGCAATCAAACTGTGCATACCCTGTGATACAGCAATACCTCTGCTAGATCTATATCCCAAAGACATAAAAAAAATAAAAGGAGGAAGGGCCTATTTGTGCAAAAAAATATTTATAGTAGTTCTTTTTGTGTTGGCTAAGGATTGGAAATCAAAGTGATGCCCATCAATTGGATAATGGTGAAACAAGCTGTATTATATGATTGTGATGAAATATTATTATGGTATAAGAAATGACAAGCAGGATGATTTCAGCAAAACCTGGAAATATTTACATGAACTGATGCAAAGTGAAGTGAGTAGAACCAGGACAACATTGTATACAGTGACAGCAATATGAGATGATAAAGAATTGTGAATGACTTAGCTTTTCTCAGTAATACAATGATCCAAGACAATTCCAAAGGACTAATGATGAAGCATACTATCTGTCTCCAGAGAAAGAACTGATATTATCTGAATATAGACTAAAACATGCTATTTTTCTCTTTCTTTCTTTCTTTCTTTCTTTCTTTCTTTCTTTCTTTCTTTCT